GGTGGGTGAGTTGGGCTAACAATGGAGGATGGGTCAAGGTGGGGCTGGAATACGGAGAGGTGGCTAGGGTTGAGGCTGAGATGTGGATGGGGGTCGTGTTGGAGGCACAATGGGCTATGTCTTTTTTTTATTTATTTACATTTTTATTTATTTTGTTTTAAATTTATAATATTTATAAATTGTACTTTAATTTTATTTTTTTTTAATTTTAAAATGTAATTTGGTTTTTATTAGCTTTTTAAGTCCACATCAACATAAATATTGGCCTACGTTTGCCACAGTCATTTAAAAGTTTGGTACTAATTTGAACCTACTCCTAAAGTTTGGGTATTTTTTGAAGAATATTTAAATAAATAAAAAAAGTTATAGTCTAAATTGCTTAATCTAATTTACAAGAAGAGATACTCGAATTTAAGTGCAATGAGGTAGCACACTGCCTTTACCAACTTGCCTAACCCGCCCCTTGAAGAAAGTTATTGATAAGTTTGAGTAACATAAAATAAAACCAGAAAATTGCACAAGTGCTATAGTCAATCAATCAAACAGAACGTGGCACTACTACTGCTTCCAAGAAGTTATCATCTTAGAAAAACTAGTGAACGAGGACCCACCATTGTTCCAAGCAGCCAAAGCCATTGCTTTCATAGCTTGACTTCGTTCTCTCAGACTTTTCTCATCCATCAACAGCGACACCTTCTTCTCCACTTCCTCTGCACTCACAAACCCTTCTTTTGACTCAACTGGTATCCCTAGCTTCATCTCCTCCACCAAAACAACACCATTCACCGCCTGCTCTGCATACAAAGGCCACGCCGCCATTGGCACCCCGTAGGTCACTGCTTCAACCACTGAATTCCACCCACAATGAGTCACACAACCCCACCTACACATGCATGGCGCAAAATAGCAGCCTGTGGAGCCCACGACTTCACTACCAAGCCTCTATTTTTGGTCCTCTCCAAGAAATCTTTTGGTAGCAGAATCTCCAGATCCGGCTCTACTGAGCTCGAACCCGGAGGGCTTCTCACGACCCACAAGAATCTCTGTTTGCTTCTCTCCAAACCCATGGCAATCTCGCTTAATTGTGCTTCGGAGAACGCACCTCTGCTCCCGAAGCACAAGAAGACGACGCTCTGGCTCGGCTGCTCATCCAACCACATCAAACACTTGGTTGAAGTTGACCTGTCTTCGCAGGCACTTGAAGCCCGATTTTTAGCATCGAAATTCAACAGCCCAATGTGGAATATTGGCGGGGTTTGATGATTTGGAACGCAAGAACCATCGCTTATGGCTTTGATTGCGGATGGCTCGAGTGCTTGGAAGGTGTTTGTTATAATTCCCTGTGATTTTGGAAGACGAGCAGCGAAGTTGACAAAGTACTCGTACGCAAGGCCGCCGCCGTCGAGAAGAGGCAGGGGCATTTGGGAGGCTCGGAGAGGTGGCAATCAGGGGAAGTGGAGGACGGCGTCGTTTAGGTCTTTGAAGCTCTTTGATGTTTGGCTATGGATGGTGGGTAGGTAGAGAAGGACAGCAAGAGCAGAGGCGCAGGAGGTGAAGTAGAAGTAGGTTGGGATTTGAGGGTCATATGGGAGGTGGACAGAGGAGGTGATAAAGGCTAAGACTTTGGAACTTTGTGAAATGGTTTCGAGGGCTTGGAGGACATTGGGGATGCTGAGACGCATGATTTCGATTGCGGATTCTACAGGGTTTTCGATGTGGGATTGGTGAAGATGGAGGGAGGGGAGGGTGAAGAAGGAGATTGGGAGATTGGGGTTGGTTTGGTTTTGATCAGATG